CCAATTTTTATATCTATTGTTACATGTTCAAAGTACAATACCACTTGTTTGTAGTTGGATTGTTATATGCCATAATTGTAGATGTCATATCCCGGTGGCATTGGTACTTCAACTGATAATAGTCAAGGAGACGCGAAATGGCCTCCCGAAAATGAAGCCGCATTTGTGAGTGTTTTGTTGGAAGAAGTCCAGTTAGGAAACCGTGTAGCCGGTAAGTTCACACCTAATCAATGGACGACCATTCTCGGGAAGTTGACAGAGAGGTGTCCTATTTTCTATCCTTACAAAGTCGCTCAGCTGCAGAGTAAGTACCAACGTATGAAGGAACCGCTGAATTTTGGGCGCAATGGACAACCGTAAGCATTTTTTCATTCTCGTGTTAACATACCAATTGTTTCCTAGGTTATTCTTGTTTTTAGGAGTGTTATGAGCTTGAGTTTAAATGTGGCCTGTACCTCCATGTTAAATACAAGGAACTTTTTATATATGTTGGCGTTTTATTTGAATTAGAAGTATATTGTATTCTTCTATCCTTTTTTGTTTAAAAGGAAATTATAGTTTGTTCTGTTGCCGGTTTTATTATTATCCTCGTCTTAAAATTTTATTTCTGTTGTCACGTGCATAGGCAAATCGAAGGGATCATGACATGGAGGGTAAGGTGTGTGTGCATTATGAAGAACTAACTACTATTTTTCACGGGACAACTGCTACGGGGTCGAATGCGAGGGCATCAACTCAATGGGTGGCCGAGGGACGAAGCTTCGGTGGTGACCGATCCGGACATGTGAGCCAGGATTTTGTCGCAGAGGACGAAGAGGAACCGATGGTCACCCCGACCTCACATGCACGGCAGGGTAGGCCGAGGCGGTACGTTCGTCCGAGGAGGGGCACAGAGTCTAGTTTCAACACTGCGATGTATTCGTGGTCAGACTTGAATGTATCCCTCAGAGAAAGAAACAACCGACCCCCAAAGCTAACGACAATGGAACAGGATATGCGCGACCTTCAAGCAATGCCGGATATGGACGAAGATCTTTTCCAGTATGTTTGCAAGAAGTTGTGGGATCCCACCAATCGAGCAATGTTTGCGGCGATTAATAGTGACGAGAGACGTCGTACTATTATTAAAATGTGGCTGGATGAGGGCCCCGGTGGTGCTTGAAGGGGATGGCGATCTTTTTAATTGCTCTTTATATGTTGTTGGACTATGTTTAACTTTGTTTTCAAGCTACATTTGCTACTGCATGGTTATGGTATAATTCGTTTGTGGACATTTTTGTGCCTGTATTTATTAGCAAATACATTTATTTGTAGGATGTCTAATTTTGACGATAGTGGCACATATGACGAAGAGGTCGATGATTTGCCTGAATACATTGACAGTGATTTGGATCCGGTGGAAGACTTCGATCCCGTCGAAACCTCCTTAATGGTGGGAGCTCAATTTCAACAACTTGTAAACATTTTTGAAAGTTCATCGACCGCATTTCCCCCCTTAAGGCGAACCCCATACCGAGAATCCACCTACACGGGGTTAGACTGGGTAAATGAACTATTAGCTGGAAATCCTCGCCGCTTTAAAGATGCAATGGGCATAAATCAATGTCATTTTAGCATCCTCTGTGACGAAATAAAGAGGGCGGGATTCCACGAAGAAACAAGACAACAAAAAATAGGCATTGAAGAAAGCGTAGCTATTTTTCTTCATACAATAAAAGGCCATCAAAGGCAACGACGTGCGGCTGAATCATTCAGACACTCAGGGGAGACGATTAGTCGTCATTGTCACAAAGTCATCAATGCTCTATGTTATCTTGCCCCCGACTACATCCGTCCCCCAGACTTCAACCGTGTTGCACCGTGGATAAGAAATAATCGTAACTTATATCCCTACTTCAAGGTAAACATGTCGTATCACTTTATCTTTGAATGTCTCCTATACCGTATATTTTAACTAAGTTACTGTATATTGATATTGTAATTTGTTATGTTAGGGTTGCATTAGCACCATTGACGGCACTATTATACCAGCGTGGGTGCCGGAAGGACAACAAGGTTCGTACAGATGTAGGAAAGGTTATTTGGCGCAAAATGTGATGTTGGCGTGTGATTTTGACATAAGGTTCACTTTCGTCCTAGCCGGTTGGGAAGGCAGCGCAAACGACGCACGTATTTTTAATCAGACTATGTCTGACCCCAGATATGCTTTTCCCTTTCCACCACCCGGTAATTCCATCATCACACTATTCATATGTTATTATTAACAATGTAATTTTTCAATTATTTCTGTTCTCCCATTATTTGAGGACATATGGTCATACAGGTAAATTCTATGTGGTGGACTCTGGATACGCAAACATCCCAGGTTTCATGACACCATATCGTGGTGAAAGATATCATCTTCCAGAGTGGTTGGGGTCTAACCAGTTGCCCGGCAATGCTCGTGAATTGTTCAATAGACGACATGCCACTGTCCGTAATGTCATAGAACGCAGCTTCGGTTTGCTAAAAGGGAAGTTTCCCATCATAAAGGGGTTGATGCCAAACTACACAGTCCACTCGCAAACCGACATAGTAATAGCATGTTGTGCTCTACACAACTTTATTCGGATTCATGAACCGCTCGAAAACATGCCGCCTGAATTTAGGAACCCAGAATACGTACGACGACATGATCCTCGTGATCGTACTATACCTTTTATGTCCAATGATAATAACTCCAACCCCAACGTTGGTGACCATTGTGTATTGCGTGACACGATAGCGCAAACCTTATGGGCGAACCGAAGATAGAACGAACATTGTTTGTATTAATGTAACCCGAACACACCAATGTTTGTATTAACGTAACCCGAACACACCAATGCTTGTGACCATTAATGTAACCCGAACACACCAATGCTTGTATTCATGTAACCCGAACACACCAATGCTTGTGACCATTAATGTAACCCGAACACACCAATGCTCGTACAATAGTATTGTTGTTTAATTTATAAATTTTGGCTGTTCTTATTATTACACTTATTTGTAGACTTTTTCCGCAAATAATAGTTGAAGTCGTACCCGGCGACTTGTTGAAAATTGTGCATGACAACCCACATCAAAAAACAAAATTTGATGTTATAATTGTTTTGACTACGTCATATCTAATTTTAAACCATATAGATGACGTTTTGTATGTTTTTTTTTACATAGTTTTCAATCATCACCCGCATCTACCTTATAATATGTTGTTATATTTGTTTATATCATGTAATTAGTCTATTTTTATTTGTAGCCTTCTTTTGCCAGGTCGAACGAAGCATAAAAAATAATTATGTATAACCTATTAAAATAAAACAATGTAGCCGAACCAAACCGATACTATTCATATTGTTCAATAGAAACTGAAACAAAACCAAACACAATAGTACAATATTCACATTCTTATATATTAATAACAAATTAAGCATAGTAGAAGTACTTGTAAAATTTTTATAAATAGTAATATTTATAAAATTAATTCATGCAATGAGACCATTTCTCTTTAAAAACCTGCCAACCTGAACGTGGCCTTTGTTTACATATATAAAATTAGTCCAATTACGAATTACAACACAGAAAAAATTAGTCCAAACATGAAAGATAATGAAAACCGGTGTTTGTACGCCAAACACTATCGCTTACACATTGTCAACCATCCAGTAATCGTACCTTGAAAACAACACAATCATATCCAATTAAGGTGAATACGCATGTGATGCCCTCCACGATTCCACTTTGGTCCATAAATTCACGCGCATCACCATGTTCCATCAACGCCTTCCCATGCGCTTGGATTATTGGAACATTGTATCGACCTCCTTTACACAATAAGATTGCTCTCGTAGTATCATTAACTTGGTGTTCGATATGCTCCCTCCAAAAACTCATCGGAATGGCCTACAATAGTCAATACAATTAATAAAAAATTTCGTTCCTTTTTCTTGTTTCGAATTTAAAGTTAAACGTGATACGTACCAAACGTGCCCGTTGCACGTGCGTTTTCTTCATATCCACTAAGAAGCGATTTTGGGGAGGTCGTTCAACCGAATTACAAGTGAAAACTTTGACAACAAATTCATACAGACTGTTGCGCTCGAAATACAAAATGTAGCCCGCGCGAATATCTTCGGCTCGTACGAATTCGTCCCAACGATCATGAAATTCCAATCGATTTCCCACTTTTACCAACCAAACTTCATAAGTACGGTTCTCCCTAGTTTCTATTGTACTATTTATCGTGACATGATTTGTATACTGATAGTAGATTGACTCGGGCAGCGGCTGCATGCAAACAATATGCATTTTGTTGGACGGGGCGATATTGATTACAACAATTACAAATGAACCTTAGGTTTGTATTCATACCAAGTTCGGACTGTTTGCATCCGTAATTGTAACAACGAACGGGTCTAATCTATTTGCCATCGAATGGTGTCTAAAACAAAAATGAGTGTAACAATAAGAACCAATCATTATTGATATGACTCACGAAGATAATTATGAATACGGTAGTAACAATCTACCTTATTAACACAATATGAACTGCAATTAGAAAAAAAAAAAATTATATAAATCGGATGAATTCTATATATCTTTTATTAAAACGATATATAAAATTACGAGATACTATTGCCTTTTTTTCATTCTCCTTCGAATTTTTAAATGGACTAGCATTTTTTGGAAAAAAAAAAATTAGCACAAATCAATGTCGGTGTTTGAAAAATTAGCACAAAACATATAAATTTATAACAATTAAAACATAGACTGAAACCCATTTTGATCGGTCTTCACAATCTAACATCACCGACACTTTTATAACAATTAACCATAATATCCGTTAATACAAGCAACAAGAAAAGGATGACAACCTACCTGAATGATGAGCCAAAGCCGCGGTTCCGGCCGGTGAGGGAATACGGGATAAGATGGCTATTCTCCCTTGAAAGAATATTTGCTGTGTGTGTTTTCAAGCAATGACAGAAGTAATTTTAGAGTCTTGGAGCCGGTACAACCACCCCGGTTTAATTGCGAAATAAATGTGGACTGTTACCACCATTTGCACAACACATTCTACACAGTGGAAAATGGATAAGGTACTGAACATACAGCGTTGCGTTCACACTAGAGACGGTACCGTAATTAATCAATTCAAGTGTGAACGCAACGCTTTAGTTAATTACGGTACCGTCTCTAGTGTGAACGCAACGCTACATGTTCAGCGTTCACACTTGAATGGGTTAATTACGGTACCGTCCCTAGTGTGAACGCAACGCTGTATGTTCAGTTCACACTAGGAAATTGGTTAATTACGGTACCGTCCCTAGTGTGTTGTATGTTACACTTAAATTGATTAATTACGGTAACGTCCCTAGTGTGAACGTAACGTTGTATGTTCAGTACTTCGTCCTGCTTGAATTGAACATACAGCGTTGCGTTCACACTAGGGACGGTACCGTAATTAACCAATTGAAGTGTGAACGCAACGCTGTATGTTCAGTACCTCGTCCTGCTTGAATCGTGGTACCGTCCCTAGTGTGAACACAATACTGTATGTTCAGTTCACACTAGGGAATTGGTTAATTACGGTACCGTCCCTAGTGTGCTGTATGTTACACTTGAATTGATTAATTACGGTACCGTCCCTAGTGTGAACGCAACGTTGTATGTTCAGTACTTCGTCCTGCTTGAATTGAACATACAGCGTTGCGTTCACACTAGTGACGGTACCGTAATTAACCAATTCAAGTGTGAACGCAATGCTGTATGTTCAGTACCTCGTCCTGCTTGAATCGCTGTATGTTCACACTTGAATTGATTAATTATGGTACCGTCCCTAGTGTGAACACAATGCTGTATGTTCAGTACCTCGTCCTGCTGAGGTTAGAACATAAGCGTTGCGTTCATACTTGAATTGATTAATTACGGTACCGTCCCTAGTGTGAACGCAACGCTGTATGTTCAGGACGAGAAAAAGAAAGTGTGAACCGACTTCCAATAAAGTTATGCTCGGTTATCGGTTACATGACAAAAAAAGTAACGCCATATTTTTTATTACAAGCTGTTCATATTAAAATTCATTGTTAGTACCCACAAGAATATTGGTCATGATATACAAATGAACGATTCATTGTTAACTAGTACATTGCCCTAACAAAATGAAAATTTAATCAAATTGTGTGAGAAATGATATTTTTTAACAAAATGAAAAAAAGGTATTTTTTAATTAAAGTTTAAAAATTATATATATGTATAGAACTGATATTATTTACAAATTGATATATTTTGATTTTTTTTTAAACAAAACAAGTTTTATTGTATTGTGATTAATAAACAACTAATATATGAATTAAAAAAAAAACAAAAGGTAAGAGTGATTTAATTAACTTAAGGAAAAATGGAACATAAATATTTTATGGTAAATAGTTTATGGTAATATCCCAAGCCTAATAGTCAAAACCAGACATGAACATGTGCCACAAGAATAATATCGGAATATTCGAAATTATTATATACAGTCGATAGTATTTCATCTCGAACCGATGAAAATCATTCCGAAATTTTTGATATCGGAAAATTTACGTTATATATTACAAACTTTTTATTTTTTAATTATATTTAAAAATCTATTACTATATAATACGGAGAAGAAAAATTATTTGAACAATTCGAAAATAATCATTTCGTTTTCCCGCTTCAATATAGTGTTTTCCCACTTCTTCAATTCGTAAATTTTTTTTTTTGAATTTTTTCAGCCCATGCAATTAGGTAACCAATCAAATCGAATCTTTTAGCATTCAATTTGGTAAGGTGTTCCGATTTTAGCATTCAAATCCGATTTCACTTCCTTTTTTTATGCCAATCAATCCGATTTTTTTGGTTGTTTCAAAATTTGTTTAGATTTATATTTTTATTTTATTAATATATTTGAAAGAGAATCAATAAATTTTTATCATAACTTTTATTTTAAAAATAAATTTGAATAAGCATACCTTTTACTTTATATGAAATTCAAAATTACATATTTTAATATATTAATAAACGTTAATTATTTATTTTTTCCTTATGTGATATAATAGAATTTCGGTATTAAATTTGTAAATTCAAACATTTAAAGGAAAAGATTCCAAACAATTTTTTTTGGGTAAATTTCATTTTATCTTGGTTTTCATTATCACATTTCTAACAAACTAAGCAGTATTATATTTTTTTTTATCTACATTATCAAACCGATTTTTTATGATACAATTAATATAATATCTTAACAAATTAATCATTTGTCTAACAGGATATATCTCTCTAACAAACTTGTCAATTTTTTTAAAATTAAAATGGTATGATTATTCTTATGAAGATACTTATCAATATATTAAATATTTAGAAACTTTTTTTAAAAAATGAGTTATCCCTCCTTTTACTTTATTTGAAATTCTGACTTATATTTTTAAATATATTATTATTTATTTTTTTACATGTAAATATTTATTATTTATTATCTAAGTGATAAATATTATTGATTTATCTCTTTAATAAATATTTATTATTTATTTTTTTCCTTACGTGATATAATGTAAATTTGGTTACTAGATTTTTAAATTCAAACATTTAGGAAAAAACCACGAACAAATTTTTTGGTTACATTTCATTTTATTTTAACTTCCATATAATCACAATCCTAACAAACTAATTAGTATAATATTTTTTTACCCATTTTTATATAATCGGATTTCTTAAAATATAATTAATATAACATTTTAACTATTTAATCATTTGTATAACTTGATTTAACTCATTATCAAACTTGCCAATTTTTTTTTTTGAAATTAAAAAAAATTTGGAAGATTTTTATTTGTAAAATAATAAAAAATAGCTTTACTTTAAAGTCTGGATTATTTCCATTATCTTTTGTACGTTAACAATCATATATTTTGGATTATTGATTTAAAAAAACAAATCAAAACCGTAAGGTTTAACAATATTTCTTAAATTAAAAATATTGTATAAAGAAAAGTATTTAATACTATATATTTTTCATTGATTGTATTTATTTTATTTTCATAATAGACGAGATGTGAAAAATATAAATAATTATATTTAAAATAAAGTCTAAAAAATGTTTAAAATATGAACTCTTCCGTGCATCGCACGGGATATACACTAGTTTTGATAATATAAGATCATTATTTATGAGAACTGTTTTCTTATAGAGTTCATATATTTAGAAACTAGTAAAAAAGATAGTAATTTTAAATGACTTTGTTACTTTAAATTGGTATTCATATTTTTATACGAAAATTCAAACTTTTTCTTTTCCCATTTTTTTTTTTTTTTTTACGAAACGATAGAGATATTATATATAACGCACAAAGGTGCAGAAAGCAGCCACCAGCTGATCACAACCAGCCAACAGCTGAGTACAAGCAGCTAACAGCTAAAAACTGGGAGGACAGGACAAATGCCTGCCTAGAACCGACCCCAACGGGGTAAACTCACGAACACTAAAAAAACACCAACTAACAACACAAACACAAAGGCCTCATCAGGGCCATTCCCGAGTGTCGGACTCCAACAGAGTAATGAAAATGACACTCGGGCTCACAGAGGCAACTGCCCAAACCAAAAAACACAAGACACGCACAACACAACTACGAAAACCAAAAGCACTAACACAAAAACTAAATAACTATAACAGCCCTTCCTCAACAAAACGAGCGAACTCAAACCAGAACGATCGACCCTAGACAAATCCAGACAAAGAACCTGCTACCGAAACTGCAACCAAGCCTATACAATAGCAGAAATCTAACTCCGAACCCTTCCCCGGATCAACCCATCGCAACCGAGAGAGCCATAGTCAAACCCACACCGATTCCATCCGAGCATTTCTAACACCACTAGACGAGACCAAATAGAATCTACCCGGCCGACTAACACCACTAGTCAAACGGGGAAAGTGCAAGTCAAAGACGGCCCCTCTCCGACCGCCGCAACAAAACACCGCAGTGACCGGAGCCCCGCCCCACCCTTTAGCTCGCACTCCACCCGTCACCACCACGGACATCCAACGACAAGAGGCCCGGGTCCCACCCGAACAGGTGAAACTCGCCGGAGCCAGCCAAATCCGCCAATCGCTGACAAATAGAAAACAGGGCTTACCTTCGCAAATCGCAGCTCCACCGGCAACTGAGAAGCCTCCACTCACCGGCCTTACTACGACCTTGAGGTGCACCACCGCCGTCCTGAAATCCATCGGCGTTCGCGAATGTGAGACCACCGTCAATGGACCATCTGAATCAGTAATAGGGGCGCACTTTGCCAGGGGAGGGAGGAAGCGGTTGAGACGACCCCTAGCCGAGCTGGTTCTTTTCCCATTGAATTACTATCGCTTTATTTATTTCTTATTCTATTAACAAATAATATTTAAATGTTAAAAGAATTAGAACACATTTATATGTATTGCGTCTACTTTATATAATGACGTTATAATCAAAATATATTATTTAGTTAGGCTATGACAAATATAATGAAATACGATAAATACTATTTAATATTACTTATTTATGTAGTTATAATAATAATATATTTGACAAAAAAATATACTTTTATATGTCAAAGTACGTGTATTTTAGGTAGTTCAATTTTAGGAAATGTAGAATGTTTTGTTCATGTATTTATATTTAATTAACTAAATATTGGTTATTCATTAAAAATAAAAGATATGATGTATATTAGTGTATTACTATTTTGACAATAGATAATATGCCAAGGTAAGGGTATTTTAGGTAGTTCATTTGTTAATTAAAAATATAAAATAATATGAGTATTACTGCTGTATTACTAATTTGCCATTAAAAATATGTCAAAGTAAGGGTGTTTTAGACAGTTCATTATATTTACAAAATCACTCATTCTTTTATAATATAATATAATATAATATAATATAATATAATATAATAATAATAATAATAATAATAATAATAATAATAATAATAATAATAATAATATAAATACATTGAGAAACAAATCAAATAGCCATCCATACATTGAGAAAAAAAAATATTGTACCTTTTTTTAATGCTAATATTTCATTTCTATACTTGCCATTACTCTTGAGCAACAGGGCGTATGAAAGTCAAATTTCATATACCATTTATGAGATACAATTAATCAAATAAAGACAATCTTCGGCGGCGGTGGAACCGAGGATTGACCGACCGTTTCCCCACACCCAAAATCTTGCTTCTCTGTCCACAGACGACCCTCGTCGGCCACCCCCCCTTGGAACCCGCCACCACCGAACCCAAGAGCAACACGGATTCGTCGTCCTCAGAGGTACGACCGGTCACTCCTTTTAATATATGGATTTGTTGGGTTATTCGTAACCAAGATGGTTCAATGAGTTTCATACAACGATTCCTTTTTTTTATTATGGGTTTTCCGTAATCTGTACTTTTTACCAATTGATTTTCCAATCAATTTATTTGGAAGCGATGACTGTTGCTTCACAGCTTCGGTATTTTGGAATGGAATTTTCTTTTGTGCATTCTCTGTTTCTTGTGCATTCTCGTTTCCTTTGTTGTGAGTTATAGTGATTTATTTTGGTAATATATTTTATAGTCACTGAAGTCGGGTATTTTTGATTGGCAACCTCACACAAACCACGTAGATAACACTTACCACAACATGTCGGAGTACTTTCAGCAGTTTTTCAAGTACATTGTCGATCTGAAAAAACGAACATTGGTACGTTTGCGTAATTCAATTGTTCGTGTTCATGTTTTATTTCGTGGTCAAATACTGGGTATTATATCACATACATCGTCGTTTCCAATTTTTAATGTGGCCCGCAGAAGCTTCCGGACAGTCTAAACCATCAATACATCCACCGTACACCTCTTGAGTGCACCCTAACCACTAGAGAAGGTCGGAGGTATATCGTGACAATGAGAGGCAATCGTTTTCGGGTGTTTTTTGATGAAGGATGGCGGGACTTTGTGCATGATGAGGACATTATGGTCGACAACTGTTTGTGGTTCGACCGCACGTCCTTTACGAATTTTATAGTCACAGTCCACAGGGACGATCAGGTGGAGCGGGATCTTCGCTACCGGTATACGCTAGAAATAAAGAAAAGCCATGTGGAACGTGCTCGTTTGGTAATTGTGTATTCATTTCCTTTGTCGTTACGCTATTCTTACTTTACTTTCAACCGCATCTTGACATTAAAACTACCCTTTTATTGCAGCCGATTCCAATTAATTTTTGGCGAGATTATATTCTTACCGACCCCACCGACTTTTTCAGAGCAATTTTGGAGTTTCAGGGGTGTACCTATGAATTACAAATCGTTCAAGGCCATGGAAAAATTTTGATGCAAAATTAGGATGCCGAGGATTTTGTGGACGCTACGCAAATGGTTGAAGGCGATACATGGCAATTCACATTAATTCCGTATTTTTGTGTGTGTTTCGAGGTTAGGTTGGCATAATGTGTGTTTGAATGTTACTTTTGTACCGTGTGTGGACGGTGAACTGATGTTTTATTGTGTAACGAACTATTATGTGATGGTTCTTGTGGACTTCTGGTACGCATGCATGAGCCTCATGACTACTCTGTTATTTTGTTAGAATTCATGTTCACATTGGTTATGTTCATTATTACATGTGTGTGGTAGAACAAAAAAGAACAAAACCTGTTGAGTAGTATGGTTGTAATTCATATTAGTATAAAGGAACTTGTCTTGGAGATTCGAAATTACCATAGGCTATGGTTGTAATTCATATTAGTATAACACAAACCGTTGGAACAGTCTTCGGGTTCTTTCATATGTTTTTCCCGCAAAAAATTGTGTTCCCGATTTGTTTGAAGAAGGAAAAAAAGTACTTTTATTTTATTAAATTATAATTACAAATATTATATATGTAAACGTAAATAAATTAAATAAATTTTTCTTACACTAATGTTCGCGCACTAATCAAATGTTGACACACGACATCGTGTTCGTTCGATTAACAAGCAAACGAGTTTTTGTCGAACACGAACGAGGTTGAATAAAAAGAATTTGTGCGCGAAGCTTCGGTTGGTCAACAGATGTCATCACGTCGTGGCTTTATCTGGTGTTGTTCTTCAAAGATAAATGCTACATTGCCAACCTAGTGTACAACTACATTGACAACAAAAGTGAAAACGTCTGTTTGTGTATTTTTTTTTTTATTTGTGTGATATTTTTTAGTTGTGTTGTGAACATATAGTTCTACACTAGGTTGACTATGTGTATTTTTTGTTCTTAAATTAACCTTACACTGTTGCGAGTATCTGATTCTTCACGATGGGTCTAATCAAAACAGCCGTATCAATGGCCTTGCATGTGGTAATGTTATTTTTTCCTTGTTTTATTGTGGCGTGAAGTTGGATGCATCATGTATGAGACTGCCTTTTGCTTTCTTTTTTCTTTTCGGTACAGCTTTGTTGCTTTTTTTTTTATTATTATTATAGTGAGAGGGCACTTGGATATAGGTGTGGGCCGTGTGGCAGGGGTAGTCTTATCTCATTCCTTTGTTGTGGCAGAGGGAGAAAGTGGAAAGATGGTGTTTTGGGCGGGAGATTAATGAAAAAACCGGGAATGTGATGTGTGAGTTTTTTTTTTGCGAGTCTATATAAACATGCCACCTTTGGCAACGAAAATCATTCAAAAAAATTCATCATGGTTTCTCAAACACCTTTGTGTTCCTGCGGAAATGGTCGGATGTACCGTCTGATGGCCAAAACAGAAAAAAATTATGGTAGGTATTTTTGTCGGAGTCCGGCAGGATTGAAACACGAGGGGAGTTTTCTTTGGGATGACGAGAGTAATTGCTATTTTTCTTCAAGGGGAAGTGCTCAAACATATTGTAATACGCAATCCAATGCAGAAGGTAGCAGTCATACGACTCGGTCCAACTACTCAACCACGTCACACGTGCCAACGAACAATGACCCACAGTCAGTGTTTGAAATTGCGACCCAAGATATTGTTCGAGGTTTTTTTGTGGTCGTTGGGTTATTACTTTTTGTAGCACTTTTGAAATTCATCGTGATGTATTGAAAAATATTTTATAACAAGTAACTTTTATTTGTCGCGTATATTATTTTTCCAATGTAGCAATTTTATATGGAGTTTACCGGTGTGTTTAATGCAAATTATATATGAAAACATTTTATTTACACGTTCAACCAACAGATTAATGATACATCATTTTTGCAATTATTGAGACATACAGAAGTATATATTTCTACATTGTGCAAAAAAAAGGTATGTATAACTCATATAGTTCTGTATATTAACATATATATACACATTTATAAATGCTTGTTATTTACAAGTATATGAAATCATATGTCATGATTACTATCTAGTAAAATTTTTTTGCTATATAAAATCAGATTTCATGATTTGGTATATAATCATGTTACTACATAAATTAATTGCATGCAACGTAAAATTGGAATAAAGAGAAATATACATGTAAATAAAAACTGTTGAATATAAATTAAACCAATGAATGTGAAAAGAACATAATAATTATCTACATATTATAAACATATTATGAGTTATAAAAAAGTTTATTGTTAATGGGTATAAACAACATTGAAGTGGAAAGAAAAAAAAGAATTTTTTAAAATGAAAAATGGAAATGAGTTGTAATTGTAAAAAACAACATGTACGACAAGTAGGCATGGGCAAAGTTTGTATTACCTTTACATCCAATTCACTTCTGAACCACACACTTTGCCTATATATATACCTACATGGGCTTTGCTATAAATGTATATCACCACTGCAAAACATCCTCCACCTTGATTTTATGTTCAATCATGTGGGGTTTATCATTGCCAAAAACAAAGGAAGAACATTTCCGCTATATACGAGAAGGATTTTTGAACAAATGGCTTCCAGCAGCTGAGGAGTCTTTTTGTTCAATCCTTCTACATAGTCAGAAGGGTTGAACTGCGAGTTTGACATATATATGGCGTTTGATAGAATACACAGAAGTTGTTTGGGTGAAATTGGACATAATTTGACTTTGGCCGAATGCTATACCACGTTCATGGTATTGAAAGAAAGGTATCGAACATTTAAATATTTTATAGATTACCCATTGGGTGTTTTCAACATACACGCAAAGACCGTCTATCTTGACGAGGATGATCATGAGGAAGCATCTGAGGTAAGAATTTTCAACCACAGTTCATTTTTATTTTATTTTTATTTTTTAATATTTTTTATTCACGTTTTGGGAATTTGTTATATAAATATGGTCTATTACGAACATTGTCTTATCTCAATTTGTTATGTAATAATATTATAATTTTGTGTACATCATATTCTCTCAGTTTTGGCCATTAGCAAACCATTATTGTAGCAACAATCCAGAGCCTTTATGGGAAACCTTGAAGATAATTTTCGAACCACTAGTCCTTGACCCATATCCGGGTGAAATGCGGGCGAGAGATGAACGTAACCTTCGGAAACTTGACCAAGTTGTTCGCGACTACTGGGCCGAAGAAAGACGTATTGCAGCACAACGAAGAAGGAGAGGAAATTGAGATTGTTGTCGCGTATGCACTTTTTAGATAAATGATTTTTCTTTCATTTCAGAACAATTTTTTGTAATCTACATTGGTGTTTCTACTGCTATTTGATATTTCAAATAAATAAAATATTTGTGAAATGATAATTATTATTATTGCTTTTGTCAAGAAAATATTATGAGTAATGCTATTTAGCCTACTTGGATGATAACTTGGGTGACAACCGAAGTGTAAATGCATTATCTAAAAATTAAAAATTAATGCTATCATTAGTACGAATGTTCGTATAAGATAAACATGCTATCATTATTCCGTTTATCTTTGTCGGTGACGCCGTAAATTTAAAAAATAGTTATTACAAATAAAAAAATAAATAAAAATTAACATGGAAGTGTTTATTACGAATAAATATAGCCATGAATGTTCAAAGAAAATAACCATGATATATTTTTTGCTCAACCAATTTGTTGTTGGGCCTACAAAATTACAAAATTTATTACTTAAAAACGGGAAAAAAAAAAAANNNTGCACGTGATGCCTCAGTTCTAGGTTTGTGCTTTTTTTTTTTTATTATGTCATCAGCAAATGCAATCTCTTTGGCCGACCAACAACTGTACATGCTGCCACAAAGTATGAAAAAAAGGGGTAGGCACGTGGACCGAGTAGAAGCTCCTCTAGTAAAAAACTAGTTTCAACCCTCCACTTTGCTAGTTAAAAACTAGTAAAATTACATTCTAGTTGGTAAACAATCATGCTCTAAGTCCTCTTTCTAGATTGAAACAAAGGGGTTAAACAATATTTTCTGGTTTCACTTTGGGTCGGAAGAGGATCGTAACTTTGTCCTTAATGGAGAACCTCGGCTATTCCATAAACAGGTAATCTCTTTAATCAAACTGCAAGGGGCTGGGGCTATAAGTGCCATGGATTTTCACACCGTTCCGTTTTTGGTGCATCTCATTAATCTCCCGTTAATCTTTCATACCGATCACTGCGTGCGTCGGGTGGGGAAGCTACTGGGAGAGGTCATTGACGTTGATTGTGAGGGAATCACGCCAAGATTCAGAGCTAAGATTGATATTTCTAAACCGCTTCGCCTGGGCCTCCGAGTTTATTTGGAGGCAATGGATGAGGAATTTACCATTCTTGTTCAATATGAGAAGCTACCGGATTTTTGCTTCATTTGTGGTCTAATTGGGCACCGAATGTGTGAGTGTCCGACAAGGAAAGAGGGTCAGTCCCATGATTCCGCCCTTAAATATATAGATTGGCTGCATGCCATTCCTCTCAGTTTACGAAGGAAGCTGATGCGGACTAACTTGTTTTCTTCTAATGCGGCTAGCCCCCAATATTCAAGTGATCCCAGTATTAGCAAAGAAGTAGGGGAACGAAGCTTTCTTCCAAGAGACGTTTCTCCAGAGAAGGAAAAAGAATCCGAGTCTAGTCAGACGACTCATAATTCTACTATTAGGCCGGAGCAGTAAGTCAGTGATGATAGTAATAAGGGCCAGGATGAAGGGATTAAAGAGGTTAACGGCTTGGATATGACACTACCCAAGTTAAACACCATTGTAGCCCAATCTACATCAACTAGTAATCTGAAAGGCATCCAACGTAAAGGGTGAAAGCGAAAACCGATAACAAATCGGACTCTCCAATTAGAGGTTCTAGTAAACGGCTCAGGTTGGATGATGATAAAGAAATGCTGGAAAATATTTGTTCGGGTATTGAAGCGGCGACCTCTGCTCAGCAGAGGCGCCAAGCGCAATGAGTTGCTTTTGCTGGAACGTGCGAGGTCTGGGGAATTCTCGTACATTGAAATCATTACAGAATCTCGTCTGTAAATTTTCCCCCGATCTAGTCTTTTTGTCTGAGACTAGATTGTCTAGTTTAAAGGCAGCAAATATTCGTAACCATCTATAATTTTCTGGTAATTTTGTGGTGGATTGTACAGGTTCTAGTGGCGGGCTTTTGTTGTTGTGGTCGGATAGATGGAAGGTGGATATTAAATCATTTTCGGTAGAATATATTGATTGAAGATCACGAGAATAGATGTTGGCATTTTACAGGAATTTATGGGCAGCCAAAAATGGAGAATTGCCATCACACATGGAATTTAATTCGAAGATTACATACATTGTCAGTCACCCTTGGCTATGTGGAGAGGACTTCAATGAAACTATACTTCTTTTAGAGCATAACTGAGGGTCTTTCCGAAATCAATCTTCTTCTCGGGCATTTCAGTCGACCCTAATGGATTGTCAGCTTGATAATATCTCTTTCAAGGGGAATTCCTTCACGTGGAATAATAAGAGAAAGGGATCGAATAATATCCAAGAGCGCCTAAACAGATTCTTGGGGTCAGAAAGCTGGTTGAGCTTGTTCCCAGATGCATGGATTGAGCACTTTCCTTATTCATCTTCTGATCATCGACCTATTATCATTCATCTGGAGGCCCTGCAAAAGCACCGAACTTATGCCAAATCCCATCAATTCAGGTTCAAACCTTTTTGGTTGAAAGAAAGTTGTTATTATGAGGTGATTCGAGATTGTTGGTCGCGCGAGTCAGATTGTAGTAGGGTGACTACTTCCCAGTTCGACTCAAAATTGTCAATTTGTAGACAAAAGTTGCAGGCGTGGAGTAAAAATCCTTTTCGGGGTGGAAGAATATTCTCCATAGAAAAGAAAAGCATCTTCAAAAGCTTTACGAGTCCCCTGATTCACCACACCTCATGGATGAGATCAAAATGTTAGAATCAGAGATCCAGAGGCTTCTTTGCCGCGAAGAGAGTTTCTGGAAACAACGAGCTCGGATCGATTGACTTAAAGAAGGGGATCAAAATACAAGATTCTTTTATTCTCGAGCTAAAGCCAGACATCGTCTCAACCGCATAGAGAAGCAAAGAAACAAACAGGGAGTGTGGTTACAAAGCGAACCATAGATTGGTAAGCATGTCTCCACGTTTTTTGAAAATCTTTTTTCCAGCTCACGGCCGTCTTCAGAGAAAATTTCAGAATTGACGGATAGTGTGGAAGGATGCATTTCTTCAGAAACGACTTCCATGCTAGATGAACCATACACTGAGAAAAAAGTTCGTGCCGCCTTAATGAGTATTGGCCCGTTTAAAGCTCCAGGTGTGGATGGATTTCAGGCTATTTTTAATCAAACACACTGGGAGCTTCTAAAGCCTGATCTTCTTCCAGCTTGTCTTCACATTCTCAATAATGGTGGATCTTTTGAGGGGTTTAATGATACAATCATTGTCTTGATTTCGAAAAAGAAAAATCCAGTTATGATTACAGATTTTCGACCCATAAGCTTATGCTCGGTTCTCTACAAAATGGTTTCGAAAGCAGTGGCTGCCAGTTGAAAAAAGTGCTCAGCCCCCTTATTTCAGTGAATCAAAGTGCCTTTGTTCCTAACCGGCTCATGATGGACAACTTAATCCTCGCTTTCGAAATGCTCCAATCAATGTCGAAAAAACACAAAGGCAACTCACATTGGATGGCTCTCAAATTAGACATGCGTATGATCATATTGAATGGGATTTTGTTGCCTCGATGCTTTTAAAAATGGGTTTCCCTCCCTGATTTCGTCGCTTGATATGGCAATGTATCTCGACTGTGAATTTCACATTTCGAATTAATGGCCAACTTGTGGGGAATGTCAGACCCTCTCGCAGCCTTCGACAGGGTTGTTCTCTATCTCCGCACCTTTTTATTCTATGCGCAGAAGGATTATCGACGGCTATTTATAAAGCTGAAATGGCAAAATCTCTTACGGGCCTCAAATGCAACAGACTTTCACCCCCGATCTCCCACCTTTTATTTGGGGACGATTCCATCCTTTTCTCAAAGTCTAATGCAGATGAGACAGAAACCATTGTTCACATTCTGAGACTCTATGAAGTGGCTTCAGGGCAAAAGGTCAATTTTGAGAAAACGGCAATCTCGTTTACCCATAATACACCTGTGAATGTGCGTCAAGCGTTATGTTCCACTTTGGGAATCCATTCTCCTTCCACTCACAATACTTATTTGGGACTCCCATCCTTGATTGGCCGAGACAAAAGTCGAACTTTTACGACTATTCGGGAGAAAATTTGGAAGCGACTCCACTCATGGTTGTGTAATCTTTTTTCCACGGCGGGCCGAGAAATTCTAATTAAAGCGGTGGTACAATCTATCCCCACTTACATCATGATTTTATTTAGAATCCCAATGCTGATTTGTGATCAACTGAAGAAAATAGTTGCCCAATTATGGTGGGGATCTCGAGAGGGTGAAAGAAAATTGTCGTGGGTCCAATGAAGCAGGCTAACTTTGTCTAAGCCACAAGGTGGTTTGGGTTTCAGAGACTTCACAATGTTCAATCAAGCTTTGCTGGGGAAACAAGCCTGGAGAGTGCTATTGTCAACGGACTCTCTAGTGTCTCGAGTTTTAAAAGCTAATTATTTTCCATCGTGTCAGTTCTTAGATGCTACAGTTCGACCGGGTTCCTCCTTCATCTGGAGAAGCCTTGTGTGGGGTCGGGAAGTCATCCAGGCCAGCATGCGTTGGAGAGTAGGTGACGGGAAGTCAATCAGGGTCTTTTCGGACCGGATCTCTCATTTTCATGGTTTCAGGCCTATCTCTTATTATGCGGAGGGTATTGATAGAGTTAGTGATTTAATTGAAAAGAATGGAGAATGGAATCACGACTTGATTAATAGTGTTTTTGCCAATCGACACACAAAAATATTTTTCAATTCCTCTTAGCCGGTTTACTCATCCTGATCGAATCATTTGGCACCATACTAAAAACGAGAATTACACAGTGAAGAGTTGATACCATTTGCTGAAGCAACGATCATCCGGTTACATGGACTCCTCTTCCTCTTAAAAAACCACCTGGTGGTGGAGTGTTCTGTGGAAATTGAATATTTCACCTAAAATTAAAATGTTTCTATGGAAGGTGTGTAACTCGTCATTTCCTTCAGCGGAAAATCTTGTGAGGAGGCATATTAGGGCTGATGCAAAATGTCCCTGATGTGCGGGCTGGGAATCTAATACTCATATTTTCTTCGATTGCGGTTGGTCTAAAATGTTGTGAAAAATTTCAGGTTGGTGGGATACTCTTGGTCTGTTACGAGGTTCGAGTTTCTCTTCTATCTTTTGTCATATTTTGGATAGTGACCGTGGAGATGATTTTCCAAGTTTTGCTTATTTATTGTGGATCATTTGGCACGAATGGAACCATATCAAACACGGATTGCAAGGCAAAACGGTGGAGCAAGCATGGACAACAAGGATCGCGTGGCAAGAGGAAGCTAATAAGGTGCGTTCGGGCCGACTCTCTCTAGAACGTGCCTTGCTTACACCAACTATCGATAGGTGGGTTGGTCCCGGGGATTGTCACAAAGGTTTTACATTATTTTGCGATGCCGCGGTTCGAGACTCAGCGATTGGGTTGGGAGGTTGGATAGGCGACTCAGATGGATTGTGTTGGGCGGCTTTTGCAGTTTGTATGCCATGCTCTTTTTCATCAGTCAGCCGAAGCTCTAGCTCTCAGGTATGGGCTCCGTTTTGCTTTTGATTCGGACGTATCAATCCAATATGCTAAGACGGATGCCCTAGCCGTTATTTGTGGTTTGTCTGAGCTCTCACCTAACAATGCCTTATATGAAGTATTTGCGGACATTTTATCGTCTTTGTCGAATCTCAGTTGCGGGTCTTGTAGCCACATTGATAGGAATCAGAATGTTATTACCCATCACCGAGCTAGTCGGGATTTATTGTCAACGGGACGCTTATTATGGAAGGATTGTCTCCCGTCTTTCTTATCTTCCTTTTTTTGGTAATGTTGGGAGCCTATAGCTCTACTTGATTGGTAATGTTA